AATTAATTACGCAAAAACGTACATAATAAAACACAAATAAATTTTATCAAATTGTGACTAAAGTTCTCAAGAATATGGTTATAATTATCATCCACAATATCAAGGATTTGAGAAATGATTATTATTGGACAGAATATTATGTTGACAGATTGATATGTGATGATACTTGTAATTTATAATTCAAATATTGAAAAGCCAATTAATAATATAAGATCATTGAGATTAAGCAGTCATTTTTATAAATGGGTGTTAAGAAAATTCAATCCAGATTCATTAATTACAAGATTATGCTTCAATGATATAATTATATCAAAGTTGTGGATTGATAGAGAGCTGTTACTCCATCCTGAATGATCAATACCAGGAAGAATGACTAGTTGTATTAAATAATTTTGAATTACAGTGTGTTTCAAAAAAACCGGAAAAATTAAATCAATCATTGTGGAACAACCACTGCATTGATTTGTATGAAAAATGGCCCATTCGATAGATTAAAAGCAGAATTTTTTATTAACTATACTTTAATACAAAATGCTTTCACTATTAGTTTTAATTAATAAACCGACATCTTTTGATCAAATTAAACTAATTAGAAACAAATCAGGAATTAGATCTCGTTTTTTTAATAATGAATTGTCCCACATCTTGAAAATTTTATTTTTATTCCATTATTTGATAAATGGTTACTAAATATTTTGAAAAAATAAAGAAAAAAACCAGTAGATAAATTGTATTAAATCACGTGATTTCTACTGTGAACCAACAATCAACTCTTCTATGAGCCAATCACCTATTTCGTTCAATTTATTAATATTGAAATAGATATTTGTGAATGAAATGCACATAATATGATATGTTTGTCAGGTAGATGTATCCCTTTTATTCTAATAATATAATTGGAAAAAAACAGTAAATTCAACCCTATTCGCATTTTAAAAGCTAATTACTCAAAAACTAAACATCAAATTCAGTTAGAAAATGATTTAAAATAAATTTAAAAAGCAAAGCTTTGTTTAAATTTTATTTGAAACAAGTTGGGTTGTTTTTTAGTGAAAGTTACAAAAATTTTCCGGTTTTTTTTTGAAACACACTGTATATTAATGATTATCATATAACATAATCTTCTTGACTGAATTAATAAAAAATTTTGTTTATTAATTGAATATATGACCGTACTTACAAACAAATATAAAATATAATAAAAATTTAAATGTAAAAAAATCGGAAAAAATAAAATTGAAATAATTAATGTTAATTGTTATTACTATTTTATTACGAATAATGAACCCACTAATGTTTAATATCTGTTATTATTATTGTTATATAGAAAATTTTGGATGTTTTGAAGTTGAAATACTATGTAAATAAGTAGTGGCAGTTGATCATTGTTTTGATAAACATTTTGACCAATAAAACTATTGTCAAAACAATTGTTCAGATAATTAATGCTTGTAGTAATAGATGGATTCTGGCCAGTGATATCACTGCCATCACCGCCAACCACTCCAGTGAAGTCTTGATCAACGAAGCTATTATCGACAATACACGAGTCTTGATTGGTGAAATTAATTTGATGAATTAAATTACCATCTCCAGAGTTTTGATCAATGTAATTATTTTCGACAAAGTTCTGGTTGTTTTGATGACTGAAATTATTCTCTTCAGGGTTTTGATGAATGTAAATACAGTTGGTGCTCGATATAAGGAAGAGTTTGTTTTGGCAAAAAACTTCACTATATAGTGTGATTCATTATATAAAAAGATCGGCAA